CATCATAATAGATAGTGAAGAGATAGAGATTATTAACAGCTTCAAGTTGCTTGGCTTCAGCAGCCAGGAAATTGAAATATTAATTACACTGGGGACCTTTCTAGAGGGCTGAAGAGCAAGGATGTAAGTATAGAGAAGAAGGTGCACCTGATCTAGGCCATCATCTTCACAATTACTTGCTAAGCATCAGAGAGCTGGACAATGACTAAAGATGACAGAGAAGAACTGATGTCTTTGAGTTGTGGTGCCTGAGAAGGGTATTGAACATACTGTGGACTGCCAAGAGAAAAAATAGGTCTGTCCTAGAAAGGGTGAAACCAGGCTGCTCCTTGAAGGCAAGGGCTTTGAAGCTCTCTCTTATACTTTGGACATGTTTACAGGGAGGAGTGGTCCTTAAAGAAGGACAGCATACTTGGAAAGGTAGAGGGACAAGAGAAGAGACCATGGATGAGATGGATTGACTCAGTGACTGGGGTAATGTGGGTAGGTTTATCAGAAACAATGAAATTGGTTCAAGATAGAACCAAAGCTGTAGTAAGCAACTTGATGGCACAACAGCAGCAGCAGCAACAACAACAACAACAACAACATCTTAAAAGTATATAAATACAAAGTTATAAATTAATTGAGTCTTAGCAATTAAAAAGTAATAAATCAGGTGGGTAGAGGAAGAGAGTTAAAAAAAAACACCCCCCAAAACACCAACCAATGTACATGAATGAAATACAAATTTTAAAAATGTAACAAATCTAAATACTTTCTTCACTTATGTATCTCCGCTTTCTCCATGTTTAATGTCTGTATCACATAGCTGTTGTTAGCTATCAAGTCCACTATGATTCATAAAACAACTTAACTGAGCCTTGTCCCAGCAGCATTAGCCTCACACTCTCTTTCATGCTCAAGCCAATTGTGCTAGTCACAGTATCAATCTCTCTTTTGAGGACCTTCCTCCTATTGCTGACCGTCTCCCTTTCCAGCATGATGTCTATCTCTAAGGACTGTTTGCTCCTGAAAATATACCCAAAGTGAGTGAGACAATATTTCACCATGCTTGATACTGAGAAGCACTCTGGTTACACTTCCCTCAAGGAATTTGTGTTCTTTTGGCAGTCAGTGGGATATTCAATACTCTTTTCCAAGATCACAATTCAAAAGTATCAGTTACTCCGGCGCTGGCTGAAAATCGCCTGTGACTTCATCCATAGCCACTGGTGAGAGTCAGCGCCCAGAGCCATCAGGGGCTTTAAGCTC